CATTATGCAAGAGCAAAATCTGCTTATTACAAGTCTTTCTTTAGGCCTGAAATGTTATCTAAATTATCAATTAGACATTAATTAACTTATCCAGACCATAATAAACTCTCGATGTCATGGCTTACCTTCGATGTTGGCTGGATTAGATTCCTATATGACGCTAACGGCCGTTGATAATTAAATCAGAAAAAGTGGATAATCGAGACTATGCTGTTTATATTAATGATTTTAGTAATGATGACCGAGCCTATGCAAAAATTTCACCCGCTTCTTTCTCGGCTCATAGTGGATCAATTTGACTGAAATTTTCAGCAAATTACCTTTACACTATCTAGTTTTTAACTATTATAGCGAGAACTGCCACTTTATCTTATCTCCCATAATGTATCTTTAACAAACAAGAGCCACTTTTTTTTCTGGCTTCAAATATTTTATGAATCATTATATAGACAATAATTATTCACCAATCTGGTTAAAACACAGATCCTATTTCGTTTCGTTTTTATAGTTCAAAATTTCGTTTTACTTGTCTTTACTACACTTGGATCTGGAAGAGTTGTTATTTAACTCGTGTTCTGAATGGTGTCAGGGATAAGCCAATGAAACGGTCTGTTACGGCGAGCTTTAGTCGTGTTTTTCACGGAACTGTGGGTAATCCACAATGCTGATTGGTTAATCAAATGTCTGACGTCAGAGGTCATAAGTCGGTCTTTTGACCCCTGACGTGACCTATCGCTATAACTTGTCAGATTTTCATGTAGTGTAGGCCATCGAAAGTATAAAAAAACGAAACGAAATATAGATCTGTATTTTAATCAGATTGATTATTCACACGACAGAGTAGGATCGCCTGTCCAACCTCGTGGGTTTTCTCCGGGTCCTCCGGTTTCCTCCCACTGCTAAAGACCCCTACGCGCAAGCGAATTATGTAAATAAAATTAAACCATATGTTAGTTCCACGACCTTTTTTTTCTATTAACGTTTAGAGAAAAAATATAACTAACTTATTTCTATGAGATCCACACTGCCCGAAAAGTATTTTCTCGTCTTTTTCTTGTCCACTGCATGCCCGAAGCTCTCTTATGATATGTATGCCCGAAAAAACGGTATTGATTTCGGGCAATTTTCTCTTATGCCCCCTGAATTACTTTGAGCTCCTACGCCTATGTAATCAACACTCTAAGTCGTCGGTTGGCTATGCTGTTGAGAGGATGAGATTTTTATCTCCATTCTGATAATAGAAGTAAATACATTATCTCGATTATCAAGACGCTACGTAAATAAAATGAGTGTCAACTGGAATAACGATGATCATACATACACAGTTATTATTCTCGATTATCAAGACGCTACGTAAATAAAGTGAGTGTCAACTGGAATAACGATGAACATACATACAGCGTTATTATTCTATTACGTCACTTTTATCTTCTTACGTAGCAGCCACAGACAATTACATAAATATACGGCAATAGCTTTTCAAGTTTTAAACTTTTCTAACCCCAAGAACTTTGTGTTTGTAAAGATTAATTAAAAACATTCTGTCGTTCGTTCTAACCTTGTAACAATGCCATTTGTCTGGAAACTGGCAACATTTCTACCAACGTCATCAATAAAAATAACATGAAATCTCGGAAACACCGATTGATTTTAAAACAAGACAAATATCTATTTCAGTTCATGCAACAGCGGTTTCCTGGCTGCTTAAATTCACGTTGTTTGGTCTTGTAGTTTCGAATTCATGAACGTCTTTGTAAAATCTTTTGACGGGTCAATCGATTTTGTTCACGGCTACAACAATTAACTTGGTTTCCGTCTATGAACATCTATATTGTTGATGAATAACTTCCGTTCAGGAACTGAATATGTGCAATAATATTTGTATAAGTGAGATCGAGGCTTGACACAATATGTTTAATATCGACTTCCGATTGCAGTAAAAACTGGTCTATATGAAACAATGTCTGCAGGGTAAAATATTGAAATAGTCTTTGCGGGAAGCCCATGGGCAGCTTGGGCCAAACCCCGTATAAGGGTCCCAACTGAAGTCACACCCTACCTCCCCCCATGCGCGATAATTTCTTTTGAAATTCTGACCGTAAATGGTGCTTTGTAGAGTATGTTATACTGACTACAAAATTACAAGATCTGTATTGTAGTATTAAAAGTTTTAAAAAACGCGAAACGAAATAAATATTATATAGGATATAGTTATCTTTAGGATCGAAATTAAATAGATTTATATTTTAGGCTCTGCTGGTTAGTCTCCATCCCCACAAAAAGAAGAGTTGTTACATAATATTTAAAATTTAAAATCTGTTTCGGGAAAATTCTGACTAACATTTAGCAATGCCGTCGTTCTTTCATAAACAGAGTTTGTATATCTTGTTTTATTGGGAGCCGCGGCGGTGCCCGTAAAAGCTCATCCCCATTTTGATTTATTTTCTTGTTTTATTATGCATTAATTAATGGGAGATAACTTTTGCATCATCGTGACATGGAAATTGCTTAGACACGAAAGTATGTGTTGTCTTCTCTGTTTTATTGGGCGTTGGACGACATGGTCTGTGTGCGTGGGGGTGGGGGGGTCGCTGGCTGAATGGTTAGCGCGTGCGCATTGAGTTAACTGGCGTGGTTTCGATTCTCCGTTTGTACGTGACATATGCCGCCGCCATATTTTTCGGACAATAATGATACACCCACTCCAAGGAAAATCGGCCCGTACACGGCTGTCCGTCCAAAATTTTCCCCACAACACACTGCATGTCGTACGCCAGCCTTCATCATCCCAGTCTTAGCAGAACAGTAGGACGTTAAACACTATTTCATTTTACACTATCTATGGTAGAATTTTTTCAGCGTAAAGAAAGTGTGACTAGAATTAATGTTAAGTCAAAGGATAACCTTTGGGGTTAGTGCAAAATGATAAGGCCAGCTTAGATTTTCGTCATAGGTCACGAGATGTAAACAGGGCTAGCCCCAATGCTTACCCTAACCCTAACCTATAATCTCGCCAACAATCACGTGCCCTAACCTTATTTATATCTCAGCGACCTTGACAAAAATTGAGCTGGCCTTAACAAATAGATTTCGCCACTCTTTGGTGATGCGCCAGGAGCCCTTGGCTGACTTCGAAAGTTATCTCCCGTATATTAGCGGTTAACGTTGATTTCTACCATCTTGTCGACTATTTACGAGTAGTTGCAATCGAACCCAACCTGTGAGACTCGCGGCGGAATATCGGTAGTTTCCGATAACACTGTGATATACTATTCAAAAAAAGTAGGGGATATTTGATTTTTAAGTGTTATTAAAGTCACCTAATGAAACTGACGAAGAAACAAATGACAAAATGAAATGAAGTTCACATTCATCGATTTATTCCAAATGATCGTTAGACTAAGTAAGGCACAGACTGACCATTATAAGGGTAAAATGATACAGCAAAGTTACCACAGCATCACAACCAAGTCAGTAACGGGTAAATCCACCTCTGTTTGCCAAACAAGCATTGATCCGACGTGACATACTCCTAATGAGACGTCTAGGGTCATTTTGGTCCAGATTGTCCCATTCCTGTTGCAACGCAGCAGCAAGTTCTTGGACATTGGCAGGACGTTGTTGACGTTGACTTAACCTCTGTCCAAGCATGTCCCAGACATGCTCGATGGGGGAGAGGTCGGGACTCAGTGCTGGCCAAGGTAAAGTGGTGATGTTCTGTTGTTGGAGGTAACCTGTAACGATCCTGGCCCTGTGACATCTTGCGTTGTCATCCTGGAAGATGAAACGGCGGCCATGACGTCGTGCGAACGGCACAACATGGACTGCCAAGATGTTGTCCCGGTAGTACTGGCCTGTAACACGCCCTGCAACAACATGTAAAGCCGTTCTTCCAGCAACAGTGATGCCTCCCCACACCATAACAGAACCACCCCCAAATCGATCATGTCTGATGACGTTAACGTCTTGGAAGCGCTCGTTTCGACGACGCCACACCCTCCTACGTCTGTCCAAAAAATCAACAGTGAACCTTGACTCATCTGAAAACATCACATTGCTCCAGCGTCGATTATCCCAGTGTTGACGATCCCTACACCAACGACGTCTTGCCTGAATGTGATGATCTCTCAAACAAGGGATCACGCGAGGACGTCGGGCGCGAAGGTGACCCCTATGCAGTCGATTCCGAATCGTCTGGCCACTCACTCTCACACCAGTGTCTGTTTGAAGACGAGCGCTGATCTGATTTGCTGTGATGACACGATTTCCCAAGGCCAAGGTACGGATAAATCGATCCTGGGCTTGTGTTGTCGCCCTTGGTCGACCTGAGCGTGGTCTGTCCTGTACAGATTGTGTATCACGGTATCTGGACCATAGCCTGCTTATGACAGACTGAGAAACATTCATCGTCCGCGCCACAACCGCCTGTGTTGTGCCGATCTGTAGCATGCCAAGGGCACGTAACCTTTCATTTTGGATAAGCCGACGCATATCAAAATTTGTTTTCTGGTCACTAAAACAATTAAACTGATGTTTCCACCCTGGAATTCAATGCCACAATGACTGTAACATTCAAAGTCAGAGTCGTGCAAATCTTGGGTTGGACCCCCATGATGATCCCAAGCATCACCTGCATTCCATGCGGTAGCTATTGGTGCGTTTGGGCGTCACATGTAACTGGAAATGTTTCTTCTGTTAGGTTCTATAGTGACTTTTTTCGTAGTCATTTGCATATTTTAGTATTATGCCCCCAAAATCAAATATCCCCTACTTTTTTTGAATAGTATATAATACCAACGGTGAAACATTTACATTTTCATAATGAAACTGTGAGACACACGGTGAAACATTTTTATTTTGATAATAAAACTGTGACATTTCTATTTTGATAATAAAACTGTGACATGTTTATTTTTTATGCTGGAACTGTGAAATACTGCAAAACTGGGTCATCTCGATTCCCGATTTAGACATTATAGAACAGATAAGGAAACGGGGAGTAATTTGTGTTATTTTTATTTTTATTCAGAATGGTCACATCAAAGACCATGTCGGTCAGTTTACAAAACAATTTAGCATTTTATTTGAAATATACAACAGTGCCCACCTGTCCAGGTGCAAAAACAAAATTGAACAAAATATTATATCAGTAGGTATAACCAATCGAAATACATGTATAGAAACATCGAAAAATATTAAAACAGCACTTTAATGGCATTAGCACCAAATATACACTAGTAGGGGCTACTCGATTGAACGTTCCGGAATTGAATTCTCTCAATCCCAAAAATAGTGACAATCGAGTGAAAAGGGGTATTTCGGGCTACAACGCATGCGTCGACTGAATAAGTAAATATATCAACCAACCGTGCAGCCGAAACATATGCGTTATGTTTAATTACGTCACGATTCTACTCACACCACCTGCGTAGTTGGTACTGACAGAACCGTGACAGGACTGAATTCCGTGTTTCTCGATTGCAATTCTGTCAATTCGGGACGTTCTGGAATGTGAATCGCGCACCCCCGTAATCAAACTTAACATTCGGGTAGTTATCTTTCCAGCCTTTTTTGCCCGTCTGCAGAACAGTAGGACATTAAACCCATTTCATTTGATTTACAACTATAAGTCCTACCTGCCTTCATTAGCCCAATCGGAGCAGTAACAGTGGTACGTTACAACCCTATTTCATTTTGTTTCCAACGCTATGGTCTTACCATAAATGTATTTCGAATCTTAATGAGAGTGGTTTGATAGTTCAAAATTTCGTTTTACTCCATCGAAAGTATAAAAGAACGAAACGAAATACAGATCTGTATTTTAACAATGTTGCTAAAGAGCCATTTATGGTGTGGTTTAATTAATTAGGTAAGATAAGATAAAGAGCCGACCGTTCTCGCACCGTTCTCGCTATAATAGTAAAAATATAGATAATGAAAAGAGAATATGCTGTAAATGTCAGTCAAATTGCTACACTCTGAACCTAGATATTAGCGATACAATTTTAGGCTAGCCTCGATCGCCATTACTATTGTTGGTACGATAATAAACAACGTCTCAATTATTCATTTCATCCACACCAAAACGTATTCAAATTCACTAAATATCGCAGGCTAACGATTGCATCAAGAGTTTATTATGGTCTTGATAAGTTAATTAATGTCTAATTAATAATTTAGATAACATGTAAGGCCTGAAGAAAGACCTGCAATAGGCAGATTTAGCTCTTGCATAATGTCTGTTTAAGTAACAATTCCAAGATGGCCGAGGTCATCCTTGGTTCCTGGCCCATAGTGCATGTCTAAATAGAGAATTAAATACAACTGATATAAAACACATATCACCCAATATCATTCATAAACAAAACCACATGCGCACGTGACCTCACGTGTTTAGGGTGAGGGGTTGGGGTGGGTACGAGGGCTGTTATATTATTGTCCATATTTATCGATGAATATTGACCGATAATAATAATTTTATCAGAAAAATAGTTTTTGTCCATCTTTTTATAAAACATAATATTATTTACCCAATTTGAACAATAGACCCGGCCTGTCTGCAGAGAAGTGAAACAAGCAAGCTAGTTTTTGAACGTTAATTACGTACGATATTTGCCGTTAACCAAATTAATGAGGCTGTTTTGAATCCAAGCCGGGACATTGTCTAGCGTTGGTAATTTGATTTTGTTTTCTTATTTTAATGTTAAAACATTAGCGTTGATTTAAAAGTGATAAATTTTCGTTACAGTAATAAAAAAAAAGATTTTATATACATTCTGACTAGCTGGCTTGTTGCCTCGATAAGTTGAAATGATATCTCCTTCATAGTAGATATCGCTTAATACTAAACATGCGTTATCTACCATGCATCATCATTCGGGAATAATACAAAATAAAACACTTTGCACATTTTAACAATCCTTCATGGTCGATATGACAGAACACTAGAAAGTTCTTTGGATTTTAATGCAAATATGGCCCACGTTCAATCGAAGATAACTTGGGCAACTCTAAGATGGCCGGTCGGAGACAGACCAACATTATATTCCACAGTCCTGGTGCCATTTTTGTTGCCTTTTATTAAAAATTAATTTGGTAAAGATATTGATGGTTTGGAGGCGGAAGGGTGACAGAGGTTGGTTACGGTTAACCATAAAATTAAGACAATAGGGAAATTAATAGTGGTCCGCTTCCCGTTTATGCTAATTGGAGTTATATCCCCTTACACACTTTAAAAGGTATAAAACCATCAACGGTATCCAAGACGGAACACGTGAACTATAAATGACAACAAAAATAAACACCAACAAATGGCGTGTAAGTAAGAAAATTGCAAAACTGCACGAGGAAATGGGGATAATTATGTTACAATATTGTCACAAAGTTCCGCTTTCCAGAAATAGGCTGGAACTCACAGTAGGCCTGCACACAAAGTAGCACGGGGCACAGTTCTTCCAGTGGTCCTTTCAAATGCATCTCTGAGGCTTTATTGTTTAATAAATAAACGATGACATCTGCCATTCTCGACCAACCCAATATCAACAGACACTTCAAAGAGGCTGTCTATCGTCATAAGTACGACGACATCACACAGGTCAAACATGGCTGTGCATAGAAACATAAATCAAGCATCGAGTTGAAAATTATATTAATTTTGTCTTGTAGGCTTATGACTTTTTAAGAGCGTGGAATGAAAAACAAAATGGGTGAATCTTGGGTTCTGGAGTCATGACCATATCGGCAAACCCTCTGTCTGTGACGTCATTTTGATTTGTTGCGTAAGCGCCTTTGTCTTGTAAATACAAAATGGTTTCCGTATGGTTTCGTTTTACTGCATAAAAGATTGGTTCGTGGCCCTGTGAGTCCTGAGCGTGAATATTTGCACCATGGGATAACAAATAGTCAATTATTTTAATATCTCCTCTGTACGCCGCTAAGTGTAAACAAGTAGAGTTGCCAGGTAACCCATCAGGGAATCCCATTTCAAAGTTTATATCCACACCGCATGACAGTAATGTTTTTAAAATAGTCTTTGTGCCACGTAATGCACACGCATGGATAAGGGTCCATCCCTCAACGTCAACGCAGAATACATCACGCGCTATCTTTGGATGTTCCTTGACCAATCGTTTTGCTTTTTTCAGAAGTTTCTTTGGGTTGTGTCGTAATAATGACATGGCCGCCATGGCAATATCTCTGACATTTTGATTCCCAGAATTTGCTGACTTTACTGTTCCATTGTTTGTCATTTTGAGTTTCGAGGAATCTGAAACAGAAAAGAAGAAATAATTTGAATATGGGTTTAAATAGATATTATGAATCCCATAAAGAAAATCTAATTACTTTTATGTGTTATCCTACTCAAAATAACATTTTAACTAGGTATTGACTGAACTCCCGGAAAACCACAATATGACCCAGGCATCGACTGAACTCGTTGAAAACCACAATAAGATCCAGACATCGACTTTACTCCCGGACAACCACAATATGCTCAAAATAACCGTGGATTCCCCTACAGAGAAACCAATACTGATTGATAAACTTTAGAACAGTTGAATAAAACTCCTTGAAATTAACTAAAATATTAAAACGATCCTTATATTGATAGGTAAGCTTGTAGTTTAGACGAATATGTCTCAACTATGGCTGACTTCATTAGCCCAGTATGGGAGCAGAACAGTAGGACGTTAAACCCCATTTCATTTCATTTCATTTCTCAACTATGGCTTGGTAATATTGTATCTAATTTGAATAAGCCAGATGTAACAGTATAGACGCTTGCTTAAATTACCACAGCAGTAACCTGGGTGTATTTAAAAAATAAAACAGTATCTAGAAGCACGATAACTCATCGAACAAAGTTTTCCTTAAATAAAATCTCTGTAGATATTGAAGACACCGCCCCCAACCCCATCACAAATATTCAAAACAAACACCCCACACTCCCACGAGACAAACACAAATCAAAACACACCTGAAGCAACATTTCTATGCTGTATTTATAGAGTTACACAATTATTTTTGCATCTTTTAATATCATCGAGAAAGCACTTAGTGTAATGACATGAACTGAGGTGTAAAATCCTACTTTAAATGGTTATATTTCCACTAATTAATAAATGTTAATGGCCGGGAAATAATTAACACTAGTCAATCCTTGTCTGGATTTTGATCAAATAACATAACACACTATTTATGGATAACAATTACTATGGTTTATTTCACTGCGACGTTTCAACAAGATTTCACAAGTCGTTTTATTTGTGTTATATGTTTGATAGCGTCCTGTGAAATCTTGTTGAAACCATAGTAATTGTTATCCATAAATAGTGTGTTATTCGACTATGTTCCAATTACTAAATGCCATTCAAAGAATATATGTGTGGAAAAAAATATTGTTTATAAAAAGAAATAGGTGAAACAGATATTTCGTGTAACATTATAGAAATCGTTTCGGATGTTGATATATTTTGATTAGTACCACACTCCCCTCTAGTGGTTATTACTTTCATTGATAGTACACAGGGCACGTTCTGTGTTAAGAAAGTCTGTGGAAATATTATGATGTATGGCTCCTGGCCAGTAATAATATAAAACATATGTTCCACTTGTTGTATATAAATAAACAAAGAGAAAACGTGGTTTATCCTATGAATGAAGGAAACGATAGTCACGATCCAAGTCCAAGAAATGTATACACGTGATAGACCTTTTCTATTCAGTGTTCTATATGGTACACCCGAGTCCCAAGGGGACATTTAAGCTACCCCCGAAACAATGACTACTTCTATAATATCAGGAATTGAATTATATATGTACACCCGCGTCCCAAGGGGCAGTAAAAATATAGGCTACTTATGTATAATGTCAGGAATTGAAAGACTTCGTGGTACATTGGTATGTACTGTTTCGTGGCCAGATCTATTTGTTAAGGCCAGCTCAATTTTCGTCAAGGTCGCTGAGATGTAAACAAGGTTAGGGCACGTGATTGTTGGCGAGATTGTAGTTTGGGGTTAGGGTAAGTATTGGCTCTAGGTCCAGGGTTAGGGTTAGGATTTGGGATTAGCCCTAGCCCTGGTTACATCTCGTCACCTGTTACCAAACTTGAAGTTGGCCTTATCAATTAGATCTAACCCTGTTTCGTGAAAACTGTCTGTTGGTATTTTTATGGTGGCCCTTCCTAAGCCGCTATCAAAGAAATACAGGAAACAGATTTAAGGTTTGTATTACAGGAAATAAGAGGAAATACAGACGTTCTATATGTAGACTATAAATACATTGCGTGATATTTGAATTATATTATTTATTTATATTGGCCTACAGTGATTCCACCCACGACAAGCTTCGCTTTTACCTTGTGGAGTGTGTTCAACGAAAATTGGTAATCCCATTCTTAGATAACGAAAGTATAATGAAATTTGTGTGAGCATGGAATAAAACATATAATACACAGAGTTCAAAACTACAAGCATTATTAATATAATTTAATCAGGGCCGTATGTAGGATTTTAAAAGTGGAGGTGCAGCAGAGTGGTGGGGCGCCATAGCCTCCACGTATGTGATATAAGAAAGTTTGGATCAGGTCAAAGGAACCCATTGGCGTGTGGGCGCCCTTAAAACCGATCGACTGATCAGTGCCTTAAAAGCACCACTGTGTGATCATAATCAAGTGTATTATTTTATAATTGAAAGATTGTCAAATAATTTTTTTTTTTTTTGATGGGTGGGGGCGCAATTTCTCGGGCCGCCTTATTTTTCTGGGGGTGCAATGTACCCCCTGCACCCCCGCTAGATACGGCCCTGAATTTAATATACTTTTAGAAACCTCTGTAAACCTTATTTTATGTTCTTTGATGTTTATTATTGTATTGTATGCTTTACCATACTCGTGTATACCATGCAGTTATGTAATAAAGAATTATTATTATTATTATTATTATTAAAACTACTACTACAATCGACCACGATAAAATTATTTATAATCAATTTACAGTCGACACATGTTCATGATTTTATTTCCCTAGACAGGAAACTTATCTTGAATTAAGACCAGCACGGTTAGATCTATTTGATAAGGCCAACTTCAAGTTTGGTCAATCTGTTTACTGTATTTCTTTTATAGCGGCTTAGAAAGGGCCACTATAAAAATACCAACAGACAGTTTTCACGAAACAGGGTATTAACTTTGGTCAAAGGTCACGAGACGTAAACAGGGCTAGCGCTAATCCCAAACCTAACTCTAACCATGGACCTCGCCCTAATGCTGATCCTAACCCTAACCTACAATATCGCCAACAATCACGTGCCCTAACCTTATTTACATCTCAGCAACCTTGACGAAAACTTGAGTTAGCCTTAAGAAATAGATCTAGCTATTCTTAGATAACGAAAGTATGAAATTTGTGTGATTACGGAATAAAACTAATTATAGATAGATTTCAAAACTACATTCGACCACTATAAAATTATTTATAATCAATTTACAGCCAACGCGTGTTCATGATTTTGTTTCCAAGGATAAGAGATATCTTGAATTAAGGCCAACTTGGCTTTCTAAAGTCTCAGAGAAAAGAAATATCTCTTGAATCAAGATCATCATACGCTGTCTAACGACTCACAGATAAGAATTATCTTGAATTAAGACCAGCATATGCTGTCTAAAGTCTCGCAGACGAGAAACATATTTTGAATTAAGACATGATGCATAGGCTGTCTAAAAAACCTATCTTGAATTAAGACCAGCGTAGGCTGTCTAAAGTCTCGGAGATAAGAAACATATCTTGAATTAAGATCAACATATTCTGTCTAAAGACTCACCAATAAAAAACATATCTTGAATTAAGATCAACATATTCTGTCTAAAGACTCACAAATAAGAAACATATCTTGAATTAAGGCCAACATAGGCTGTCTAAAGACTCACAAACAAGAAACATATCTTGAATTAAGGCCAACATAGGCTGTCTAAAGACTCACAAACAAGAAACATATCTTGAATTAAGACCAGCGCAGACTGTCTAAATACAATTAACCATTAGGAATAATGATAGAATGGCTAGACTGCATTGATTGTGTTCAGAATTAAAATGGTCGATATTATTGGATTGATTTGTTATCTGAGATGACAAACTTTCTTTGCTGAGAATTTTACATCTAAAATCAGCCAATGTTCAGATACAACCGATTTGCTATTCCACAGTCAATAGTAAGCCAAACAGAACTAAAATTAGAAAACAAGTAGTATAATATTTCGAAACAAAATTTAAAGTGAGCCAAAATAAGATAATGAAAAATGAATATATTAAAAATTTCATTCAATTTACTATATACTGGGCGAAGTTATGACCGCTTGAAGATGTAGGGTAGATCGTTCATTATCGTAGCAATAGTCAGATTTAGCTCTTACACAATGCATCTTTAATTTAATAATATACAGCTAGAAATAACATATCAGATCAAATAAATTCATATTACTATAATAATTTATTATTTATACCAAGAGAGAGAGAGAGAGATAGTGAGAGATGGAGGGAGGGAGAGAGAGAGAGAGAGGGAGAGAGGGAGGGAGAGAGAGAGAGAGGGAGAGAGGGAGGGAGGGAGAGAGAGAGAGAGAGATATGACCTAGTTTGTGTTGAGTGGACGTTAAACCCCATCTCTCTCTCTCTCTCTCCCTTTCTCTCTCTCTCTCCCCCTCTTCTTCGGTAGTTCATTTATAAAATCAATATATTTAAATATGTATGTCTACGGCGTATATGAGTTTCTGATGCGTGTAAATGTCCTCTCTCATAAATACAAATACGAAATACACTCAGTTAAATTCACATTGTTATTCTTCGGTACGTGCGTTTTCTCCGGGTCGTCCGTCCCCCCCCCCCCACTGCGAAAGACCCCTACGTGCAAGCGAATTATTGAATAAAAATTGAACCATATGTTAGTCCCGAAATGAGCTAGTTTGTGTCCAGTGGACGTTACCCCCTCCCCCTCCCTATTTCTCTCTCTCTCCCTCTCTCTCTCTCTCTCTCTTCGATAGTTCAATATATTTAAATATATATGTCTACGGCGTATATGAGTTACCGGTGCGTGTAAATGTCTAGTTATTGATGTCTAGACTAAAGATAGATTTTATGTATCTGTCTTATTTCCTCATAATTAGACTTCAATACGACCTGACCAGTCTCTGAATAACGAAACCTCTCCCTTTCATTAAAGGCGAGAAATCAACTAAAGTATAAGTGTTAATTATCGAACGTGGGTGGCTATTAA